GCGCGCGCACATGAGCGCGTGCGCGTACAAAACGTAAAGAGATTTCCCACAAACTAAGCTCGATAGCGAAATAAATGCTCCTTTTCTCTTAAATGAACACGGTGTCCCCCACTTTTTATTTCATAATTTCAACGAGAACCATATCTTCAATAACTGAGAAAAAAATTAACAGAAATCTATGGCTACTTTTTTTGCAGTGAAATAAATACTACAGAGGGAGACATGACGGGCTCAACAGCGCATGTCCAAATTATGTTTCCTTTAAAGGATAAAAAAATGCAGGCTATTTGAAGACATTTTTTCTGGCGGTGACCCCCTCTTTTTATTACGTTTTTAATATCTCTTTGTCCTTTAACATCAGCATACCAAGTTTCATCGGAAATCTATGGCGAGTTCATTTGCTAGGGAATCACCTTAAGCATTACAGTAAGGCCATTGCCTGTATGAAGAAGAATGTAAATAATAGAGTCACGATAAAACGCAAATCATCAAGTGAATATTTTTTACCCGGTGCATTGTGTTTTTTACTCTTTTCTTGTTTTGGACATTTGTCAAAAAGACACTGATTATTTGCCACGAGAATGATTGTTAAAGCCTATCGAACATTTGAGCAAGCAGATTCAATGAAGAGCTCAGGAAAAACCAGCACCATAACGTGTTATCTTGGTTGACTATACGCCATAAACTGTTTCTTTTTACAAGAATATACTTTATAACAATATCGAGGCTAAAATTTACGAAAATTTTAGAATATTTTAAGAATGAAGCCGACGCTGAGATTTTGAAAAAAAAAACACATCATTTGTTTGTTTTGAAAAAAAAATTGTAAACACGATATAATACAATAAAAAAAACTGTATAAAAATTCTTCCTTCCCTGAGCGGCAAACTCAGCCAAAAAAAAAAACAACAAAAACAGCACTAGGCGTAGGTTCGATGTCATAACATTTCTGCAAGATTTATGTATGTCATATCAGGCTGTATTGCCTGCAGTCTGGCTCAAAAATGACTTCAATGCCATCAAAGTCATGATAGAACAGATAATTTGACGTTTTGTGGGCATAGTCCACTTTTTATTCCTATAATCTAAAAATATTCAAAGAATATTTTGAGCCTAGAATCGGCAGAAGAATAAGAATATTCAGCCTGGGCCAGGAAAACAATCTTCTGGTAAAAAAAGAGAATGTTTATGGCTAGTGCTGCAATGCCTTGAGGTTGTAGTTCCGGTTGTTTTTCTCATGGTACACTAGACTGCTCATTCTCCACTATTTTACGAAAATGTTACAAAATCTTTAAGTCATTTCAAAGATAAGTCATGTTATGTTATTAAAGAACGTTCACTTACCTCCAAATTTTGCGATAGTCGTTGGAAAAGTTCTTTATCGGCGGTATTATGTCCGTAGGGTTTTCCATCCGTGAAAAGGAACAATAGATTATCGGCTTCTTTCCTGTCTCCGTTATCAGGGTTAAACAGGTCGCTCCGAGCTAATCTAAGGGCTGAGTCAGTGCGGGTGCCCACTTTTTTGGCAATGTTCTTAATCTTCTCTCTCACCAGCTCGAGTAGTTTTTCTTCGTCCTGATATTTAGTTTGCTTAAAGAGATTGTGTCGCCAGGCCGAATTAGCAAACGTGATGAGACCAAAATGATTGCCTTTGGGTTCCACGCCTATTCTCTTTATCATGGCAATAACAACTTTTCTGAACTTTGAAAGGTCATCGCGATTCAAACTCTTAGATATGTCCCCGAGAATGGCAATATCCAGCATCCGGCCAGCACAGCCTCCTAAAGAATGCATTAAGTGTTTTAAAATGTTTGTCTTTTCCAATTTGAAATAATAAGAATGATATCTACCGCTCATTTAAATGTTTAAACAAGTTGCAGAGAATTAAAAAATTAAAAAAATACTTTTTGCATTCTACCATGCTTTTAAGTCCTTTATGTCACATGGGAAAAGCGAAGCTGGAGGCTTTGAATACATTAATTGTCATTTTCTCTTTGCCGGGAAACAATTTTTGTTTTCACTTTTTCCTCACTCTTACAATTTTCACTCTTGCAAAATTAAACATACATCGTAGCGAAATATTTCGTACTACTAATGGCTTAGTTTCTTTTAGTGAGACCGTTCAGTTCGAGTTTTATTTGCAACACTATGTCTAAATGTTATGTTTGAACATGGAATGAAAAAGGTTTTACATAATTTTCACGAAGTTGCTAAAAATTGGCAATTATGGCGCATTTGAATTGTCATTATTTTCCAGAAGTGTTTCAGCACCTAATTTCGTCTTACTTATTTTTGTATTGAGTCCTTTACTACTACACTAAGACTAGATAATTTTATATACAATATTACAATCAAGTTATAGATATTTGGTGACAGACCTTGTACTTCCTGGAAGTCTGAAAAAGAGCAAAAAGAACAGCTAGAAATATAAAATGAATTCTTCATTATTGAAACGAACGAAAAGCAAACTGTTCTGACTAAGTAGTGAGACCAATGCTACGTTAGGTAGAATTGCTGTAATCCAGATATTTTTACTGAAATTCAGTTTAGCTTCGCTGTCATTTCGTGTTACCAAATAAGCAAAAGTTAATTACATTACCAATTTGCAGTTATGAGACCCACTCAAGTCAAATGTTACCTGAAGACAAGGAGAACATAAAGAGGGCCAGGAGCCACAGCAAGTACATGACGTCAAGAATTCTTCGGCGATAGATGAATAAAACTGCGTAAAAAGTCGTGGCAAGTCTGCTTTAAACGTTTAGAGTTACTCGTCCATTTTAAGAAGATAAAGTTTTATCAGAAAATAATTTAAGTTATCGGTCACCCGACTGGTCCTACGGGCTCCAACATATAGCGATAGTATTCATGCGGTTATCAAGCATTGCGTTTTACAGTAAATTGAAATGTGAAAAAAGACCGAAGGCAATGAATTTGCAGTGCAGTATTAAACAACTCCTGATTGATAAAATAACTAGCCAACATAATGTTTAAAAGAAAGATAAATTGCTTTTTTAAATTAAGATTACAACTTAGTGCTTCACACAGTATTTGCACCAATTCAGAGATGGGATCATCACAAAAGCGCTTCTCGATGAAGGAAACGAACGCCTGTAAATAACAATAACGAGAGCTGTAAAATCCCTAGTAAGTTATAAAATTTCTTCAGGGGCCAGCAGGCTGTTCAATGGATAAGAGCGGCCTTGAACACGAGCAAGTGTAAATGTGAAACGCTATTCCATGAAAAAAATTCCACATCTTCTTACATTTTTAGACAATGCTGTTCAAAATCTGGACCTAGCAAGGAATAAATTGACCAAGAAGCCAAAAATATAAGTTGACTAAATACCTTTAAACGATGATAGTTGGAGTACAAATTAAATGTTACCTCACCCTATAGTCTATGTCCGACGGCGCAACTGAGCAGCGTCGAGGAAGGCCTCTGTTTCAGTGTTGCTTGGCTCCCCATGTGCGACCCTTATTACGAGCTCAAGTAAACACCCAAATTTAATTCAAAAATCGACCTCATGCAGACTGTTTAAGTAGATCCCCATTAACTTTACTATGGCATAGAATTATGGTATTTGTGGTCGTTTTACACGTTCATTATTGTATTATGTTTTATTGTTGTGAGGAACTGGTCAATGATCGAAAGTGCTGGTTTTTCCATTTAGTTTCTTTAGAAGAAAACGTGCAATCCAAAGTTTAAAAATGTCGAAACATAAACACGATATTTTAATAATTTTTTGGACTTATAAACATGTCAGCATCATACAAAACACAACTTTCTTTGAACTTCCCGGCTGCGCGGGACTCAAACCTGTAGTATGTACAGCCTCCCAAGAGTTGGCTAAGAAGCAGCGGGTTGATACAAATAAGGTGTAATTAGATACAAACATCTTACATACATCCTTTATTGATTTTCCTCGAAGGGACTTTTTCAATTACAATAATCCTACTCTAGAAAACAAACTAGCTAATTACAGCCATAGATACCGATATTTTATTACGATAAAGAGCAGGGAAAATTGTCATAGAACAGAATTATAGTCCGTAACTTTTTCTTAGATTCCTCTATTAGTAGAATTCTCTATTAGTTTTATTGCTCAAAACCAAGTAAACGAATTTAAAAACTTCACAGAAGTAGCTACCGTTCAAACAATGTTCACCTGCAGACTCTTGTTAGACTTGTTTAATAAAAGTGGAATAATAATTGTAGTTATTACATCTCATTTAACGTTTGACATTTCATATACTCTCAATAGAAATCCATGTTATGACAATATTCAAAGAAATTGTTTCTTAGCTTTATGGTCCGTTGGTCCATCGTTTTCTAACGGTGGTATTCTAGTAGACAAAAAATATTTACCTTTTTATGCCGCTCGACTAAGAGACAGGGAGTTGGTGCAAAAAAGGTGTAATTAATTACATACACCCTACATACATCCATTATTGATTTCCCCGAAGGGGCATTTCCAAAGACAATAATCCTACGCCGAATTCATACTAGCTAACTACAGCCACAAATACTGATATGTCATTACGATAAAAATCAGAAAAGATTATTACGAATCTAGAATAAAATCTTCACAAAGTTCCCGTTTTCATTAAGACTTCACTTGAAACAGAAACTGAGTTGATGACTTTAAGAAAACTGTGCAGCGATATTCATATACAAACCACTGATTATATTAATTTTTATCAACAACAGCGACTCTCCCTAAAATTAAACAACATTAATTCGAAACCTGTTTACAGCTTCTTTTTTTTTTAAGACAGTTGTGGTGGTAAGTTTGCCTGTGATATGAACAGAACAAAACAGAAATTATACTCCGCTTTATACTCTTAGATTCCACCATGTTTCATCGAAAAGCAATTGATTCCAATTTTAATGGTCCGTTGGTCTATCGTTTTTAAACCGCGGTGTTCTAGTTACACGGCAGACAATATTTACCTTTTTATGCCGCTCGACTAAGAGGCAGGGAGTTGGTGCAAACAAGGTGTAATTAATTACATACATCCAACATATATTCTTTGTTGATTTCCCTAAAGCAGCTTTATCAAAGACAATACTCTTACACCAGAATTCAAACTAGCTAATTACAGCTACATATACCGATATTTCATTACGATAATAATCAGGAAAAATTGTCACGAATCTAGAATGAAATCTTCATGAAGTTCCCGTTTTAAACTTCACTTAAGCGTACTCCAAATGACCATCATTCGCCCTACGGTCGGACATTTTGACGCAATCCCCAGTAAAGTATATTAAGCAAAAAGTATAAGTGTAGATTACGAAGTTGTATTTGTAAAAATCAAAAATTTTAATGTTTTCCGAATATAGCGCCCATTTCCCAAAGTAGGTTCACTAATCAAGTCCATTTCTGATCAGATTTGAGCGGGAGGACGCGATCAACATCACCACGTCTTCTTGATATCTTTCTTTATAAATCCGTGTCGGGAAATTTTGATTACTTGTCTAGTTTGTTTTTGACACTCAGTTAAACTTTGTAAGTTGATAAATCAATCATTCCCTTCACTAAAATAGTCATAACTATTGAAAGAAGCAAAACACAGACATTCGCCGAAATGGTTTTTTGTATGATTATCGGGAAACATTCTCAAACTTGCCGTAAACGAACTCAAAATATGCGCTTCATTCGCTGATATTTCGTTTCAAGATAAGATGGAAATTTACTTTGGGTAGCTTTGAATTCGAAAACTTTTGAATCTGAAGAGTTTTTTGTATAAAACGATTTTCACTTTAATCCGGTTATTTTCGCCTGCAATCTTTTGAGTTTGCGGTAGAGCCAAAATGACGGATCTAACAATATAGGGTGCTTTCTATTATGCCAGAAGGCCGAAACAGTACTGTCTGCAGTTAGTTATATTCCAATTTGGATATATATTCCAATTAGGATATATATATTGTAATTTGGACTTAAATAAGGAAATTCGACATATATATATATATATATATCACTTTTCAACATTTTGATCCTGTTTGACAAGCATAGATACGACTAGCGCGCGCGCTGTTGTAATGGAGTTTATATAGCGACAATTCCTTGAACACAGATGGAGGGGAAAGTTACCTTCGATCGAAGCAACCTCGTCCCCAGGGACTCTAATCTTCCCCTCTCCCTGAAGCGAAAAAAGGGCGGAAAGATGAGAGTCCCTGGGCACGAGATTGGTTTATTGTCATTTTCTTAGAGCTCCGAGCAGGCTCCCAGCACTTTCCGTAATTTCAGTTAAAAACACTAGAAGATCGCGCCCATATTAAAAATACAAAATGGCCGCCACAAAACAAATCAAAGGAGACCTATGGCCAAACTCGTGGATTAGGTAATCTAGAGATGAAACATATTGGTGAACTTGCAATTATTATTAAATGCTGTTAAAACAAGCCGGGTTTGTACCATGCAAGGTCGCACTTAACTCACCAAGTGTAGGCTTTTTTGTGGGCTTTTTTTTTGCACACATATCACAAAGA